TTACTGGGATAAATAAGGACGCATCAAAGTCACTTTGCACACTGTCACAAGGAAATGACTTGATCTCCTTCGCGAGACACGTTGGACAGATTACAGACCGACGAGTCATTTACAGCCAGTTACTCTGGCGTCGGAGCGAAGCCTCCCTCTCACGTCGCGCTGATGCTAAAACCAGAACCGTCCCTCCGAGCTCGCCCTCAACTCGACTGAGCATCACGAGCTTTTCTGGAGGCCTGAAATCAAACAGCTGATGTGCTTATGGAGGAGCGAGGTAGGTAAGGCGAGACCGCCGAAGAGCTTGTGACTTCAGCGGCCAGCTGCTGGATCATCTGCACGGCCCGAAGGCTCACCGCGCTTTAGGCCGCGCGGCCACGTGCTTCCCTCACAGTAACAACATTATTCAGCATCAAGTCTCACCTCTAAACTGAGAACATGTTTGCTCTCACTGATGTGAAGAAAGAGATGCTGCAGAAAGCTGACTCACAGCTTCCCATCAAACACTCACAGCTGGTAAAGAACGATGAACTCGGGCACGGCTGGACGTCACCGTCACTGTGGCCGGAGAGCAAAGCGCCTCAGTGAGGCACCATCGTGTATCCGTTCACTTCACCTGTATAGTACTGCATTTATGAGACACTCTTATTTTATCCACAGAATAAAGGTTTATGAATAATTCAGGTAGAAGACTCTGTGCACAGCGCCGCTGTGAGGCAGACTTTCCAACGCTCTCATCATCATCATCATCATCAATGTAAATATAATACTAAATCCACTTTTTCCAGCAGCAGGTTCGCTTTACTGCTTCTGCTTTGAGGATGAATTTCTGTGGGGGAAGTTTAAGTGTGTCATGGTCACGAGTGATGGAAAGGTGGCACATGAGGTCGCCTGGTGGATCAGTGTGGTGTCCACCCACCAGGAGCTCCTCTAAGGGTGCCCTCGCTGCTGTTTGCTGGTTGAGTGCTGCGCTAACGTTAGCATGGGGGTGTAAACAATGGTAACCATGGCTTCCGTTAGCTTGCGAGGTAGTTGAGTTGTGCTCACAAAGGCAAAGCTTGGACTATTACTGTGGAGCTAAAAAAGGTAACCAGGGCAGCGCTCATGTTTTCATCATCTGATGGTAAATAAGTGTGAA